CCGACAACTAACTTTTGAAAGTTTGTTTACGCGATGCGGCGCATTTAAGATGAAAACAAAGACATTTTCCATTTCGTAGATTGCGTGTTTATTTGTTGGTTTCTGTTCCATCGTCGTATTTGTCGCCCCCTCCATACTCACTCACGCGCATAATGGTGACAACAATTCAAATTAAAAAGGAAATTTGTAGCCAACGCGCGAGCATACACATATACATTTGAAAGAATTGCACGATGTTCAAAGTTTTCCATCGTTTTCCATGCGATCCCACTTTACATGTGGCTTATCCTGTCATGTGATTGATAAAAGACACACAGCACCAGAAATCAGATTCGAAAATTATCTCGCTTTTTCATTTCCTCCCGTTCGTACTTTGGCTTTATCTATTTCCCTTTCACTTGCCAGAGCCAACGGGAATCGGTTTGAAATATTTTGTGTCTTGTTTGTAATCTTCGAATTAAAATGAAGAGAGAGAGAAAAAAACAAGCTCAGAGTATGCAATGTAGGAAAAGTTTTTTTTTCTTTCTATGTACGTGTTATTTGCTTGAGTGGGATTTTTCATGCATGGATTTTCTATATACATATATAAAACACAAAACAAAGCATTCTTTTCATTCGGGTTGACAATGGACTGAATTAAAAACAGTAAAAACCCAGCACACAACACACTAAAATCCTCTCGAAACAATCACAATAACAATCAAGCAGCAAACTTTGTGCTGATTCCATCAAACATGTGGAAAAAGTTTTCTGTCGATTTTTGTTCCGGCACATTTGCAAATATTTTCACAAAAGTCGGAAGAAGAGAAACAAAACTTAGAAAAAAGTGTAGAAACTGTTGACAAAGTAAACAGAATAGTGCTGGTATGTGTATGTGTGTGAGTATGATTCATCTTAAGCCGTTGAGATGGATGCGGCAAGGAGTAGAATGCACGTGTAATAATATCGCTTGCGTTTCATTAGTTGCAATTATTATGGTAGTTATAGTTGTTGTTGTATATGAAATCAAGACCATCTGAAGCTGGTCGGGCCTCAGAGAGAGAGGTAGAAGCATCAACGACAAATAGCAGCTATTTGATGCGATGTGTGTACAGTTTTTCTGTTGTTGTTGCTGTTGTAACGTGTGCACACAACCTATTCCCTTTGATTTGCGCAAGGGATTGCACCAAGGCTATTCACACATAGTGTGAAAATGAATTGGTGCACATGTAAATGTGACACAGAAAAGAATTAGAATAATGTTCGACTTTAATACCGCTGAAAGCATCCCGAGATCATGAAAATGGATAAAATGAGTCACAATGTTAGCGAAAAGTGGTCTGTTGAATATTAATATGGTACTTCCTTTTGTATGTATGAGTTGGTACAATTGCCATCCAGCCCATCAACAATGGCAAAAATGTGGCGCTTTTAATTATTTTCTTTCTTTTCCCCACTACTTTTTTTAGATAACAAAATATACCCTTCAGTTTGGTTTTTCGAGGCTTTTTTTTTTTTTTAAAGAGGATGATTCACCTTCACGACAAACTCTGTTTATTGATTTTGCAACATAGAACGACAGCAAGAAAATCAAACACGACACATACATAACATTGAATGATAAAGTAAAGTGCAAATGCAGGAAGGCAACACAGCGAAAAACAGAGTAAAAAGAAGCTTTCAATTTCCTTGTGGGATTCTAATAAAAATTTCAGCTTCAAAGGCAGACAGTCACGTTTGGCGCACACAAAATAATGAAAAAGAAAACATGCCGTTGAGTGAACGAATGATATTGTTAAGTTCAGCGAAACGTTATTGTTTCAGCATTTTCTCGTTGCGCATATTAAGTGGGATATTTCGTTGGAATTTGACTGCGTGGCATTTTTCATTCGGTGACTTCGCGATTTTTATCTGCATCGTTTAAAATGGCTTGAGTGTATTCACGTGGCATTTTGCAAATAACAAAACTTTAGTACAATATTGGACAAAGGCAGAAGCAAAGTAACAGAGTCACGGTGTTGGCAACTAAAGTAATTTTTTTTTACTGTTTATGCAGAAGCGGATAGAACAGGAACGGTGTAGAAAAAAGCAGAAAATACATGTTTAGCGATAAAAAAGGAGAAAAAAACACGCTCTTCACTTTGATGACAAAAGATCGAATTGAAAATATTCGCCGTTTCCGTACTCGCAAGCAACATACTATACAAATAGCGATATTTGCTCGCTCATTTCTTGTTATATGGTCCGTGTCTATACATACAAGAATCAAATTTGATGGCACATAAAGAGTTTTATTTCTCTACTTCTAACATTGGCAGTGCTTTTTTGCTATTTTGCTCACAAAGGAACAGCTCGATTTACTCACAAAGGGTTGTCTAGTCCCCGTTTGTGAGCGAACACATGGCGGCAGATAGATTACTGTTAGCACATAGATTACTTTTCGCTGTAAACGCTACTTCAAGATGAAGGTCACAATAAAGTTTATATTGAACAAACCTAATTCAAAATTGATGAATTGAACTACTTATTAAATATTGAAAAAAAAAACATAAATTTTAGTGATTTTGTTGCTATGCACACATTTTGCTAAAAAAAAGAGGACAAGATAGAGAGAGAGAGAGAGAGAGAGAGAGAGAGAGAGAGAGAGAGAGAGA